ATTACAAACATATCTATTAACAAGTGAATAGCAATCAAGATCAATCATTTCATTGTATTAATTACCATTTATTGATTACCGAATTTCTTTGTACTTGGTACCAAATTTATTTATTTCCGTTCATTTTTAAATGTTCAATAAAAAAAGGTGATAAATTGTAATTATATGCAAAATGATTTAATCTTAATAAACAATTCTCTTATTGTGTAGGTGTTTGTGTTTCTTTAGCATAGAATATTTTATAAGTAAGTCAGAAAATTGTCCTTATCAATATTGGGTTGTGAAGATGATTAAGTTTTTGATAAAGATTATGAGTCGATTTAAGCTGGACCACCATGGAAAAGACTCCTTCAGAAGTGCAAATTCATGATCTCGCTCGAGGGATTCGGACCTAGGGCATCCAATCTTGCGTACTCAGTTGTCTAGAGGTTAAGCGTTCGCTTCATCACTTCAATCAGAAAATCGTCCTATTTATGATGACAATGAAGTTTGTAATGATAGTACTAAGGATTTTTTTCTATTATTCATATATATATATATATATTGAATTGTTAGACTTGATACCTGCTATATATCATACATAAATGCTAAATTAAAGAATTCATATGCTCGACAAGAAATTCGACATTTCATTTCAAACTACTAACTAATATAAAGTAGTTTAATTTGTATCATAAAATAAAGCAACCATGGTAAGTACAAGGATGGAATACAAGAAAACAGGTGTATGTACATAATGAGTTTAGATATTTATGTTTGTACATATTAGAATTGATAGATAATAAAGAAGTAATTCAGTTGATGATATTTTCGAAATTAAAAAGAACTTCGTTAGTTTCATGTTAATATTAACACATGAAATTTAAATTTCGATAATGCAATGAGAAGACGTAGTTTATCAGAATTATGTGATAGAATTGCGCAATACATTTCGAACAATCTGATCACACATCATCTACTTGTTAAGAACATTTATATATGAAAAATTAAAAGGTCAACTAGACAGGTTAAGGGTAAGTCATAACAAAGGAAAAATATTAAAGTACACAAAAAGCAATTGTGATTACCACTCTGGATACTAAATCAGTACTACCAGGGTAGGTTAAGTGTAAGCACAAATTGTTTCTGAACGCATAAAGGGGGTTTCAATTTTCGTATAGCCAAGGCTTCAAGGACGTATACTAAGGTTTATTGAAGCCTTGGCTATACGAAAATTGAAACCGCCTTTATGTGTTCAAAAACAATTTGTACTTACACTTAACCTACCCTGGTAATCACATTTGTTTTTGTGTACTTTATTATTTTTCCTTTGTTATGACTTACCCTTAACCTGTCTAGTTGACCTTTTAATTTTTCATATATAAATGTTCTTAACAAGTAGATGATGTGTGATCAGATTGTTCGAAATGTATTGCGCAATTCTATCACATAATTCTGATAAACTACGTCTTCTCATTGCATTATCGAAATTTATCAAAGGGACTAATTGTTTTAAATTTCTGAAATTTAAATTGTTACATAATGGGACAATTCTGAGCTTTATATCGATTTCAATTGGAAAATTGTTATATCCCGATAAGAATAACGAATGGTAACTTTTGGGATCCATTTATGGACCAGTACAAATGTTGTTTCCTATTTTATGGTAAGATGTAGTCTATCTGGTTGGTATATAAACTTCGTGTGTTTAAAATACATGATTCATATCGCAGAGGCTGAGATTAGTGTTCTGGACTCAACTGGCTGGGCTAGACGGAAAGCAGGACCAATTAGGACTCTAGACTGCTCGTACGTGTTTTATGCGTCACTGGTTCGATCGATAGTTCGCTGCTCTCTGATTGGCGGTATCGTTGTGTTATACAATAAACAGGGCACACAGGTTCACAAGTTATAAGAAAAATGTAGAGTTCTAACAGTTTGAAACTAAAAAAAACTCATTAAAAACATGGACTGTCGCTTCGTATTGATATGGAACCCCTAGGCAATACATATTCACAACTTCACAGCCAGTAGTTGAACCTAGGACTTCCAGTCTCGTACACCAATGCCTAACTTTCAAACTATTTAGCCAACAACCAGTAGTGTACACGCCTAACTTCGACTAATCTATGATATTATGCAATTGTCTTCCATTGTTTTCGGTAGGTAACTTCTTTATACCATTTTGAGATGATAAACCAAGTCAGATAATTTTCTCGAGACGAATGTGTTGTCAAATCTTGAAGGGCAGTTATACACTTCTTTCGAAATGAACGACTGGATTTATTGAAATTTTTGTTTACGAAACAATTGGCTCGACAATTTTGACGACATTACAATTTATAGACGACCTCTGAGCGAATCTTAAGTGACCTTGAAAAATATTAGCCAATCAGAAAACTTAGTATGAAGTAGAAAGTATATTATACAAAACCAAAGAATTAAAGTGGGTACACTTCTTTTATATGGAGTACCAAAGAATTACATTAACCTTATAAAGGCTCTCTACTCGAACACAACTGGTAGAGTGAGAGCTTATGGCGAACTGTCATCAGAATTGATTACCTCAAGTGGTGTTCGTCAGGGCTGTCCACTCTCCCCATTCTTGTTCAACTTTGTGGTCGACGTGCTTTTAGAGATAACACTCTCCTCATCGAAATTTCCAGAGGTTAAACTTCTACCGGGAGATTCACTTGTTGACTTAGAATATGCCGATGACATAGTTTTATTTGGTGAAGACGCTGTCAAAATGCAGAGTCTTCTGATCACTCTAAGCAACAATGCAAGCATGTTCGGGATACGATTCTCTCCCTCGAAATGCAAAATGTTGCTTCAGGATTGGGTTACATCGACACCCGAACTAGTGATAGGGAGTGAAGTAGTTGAGTGTGTCGACCGCTTCACTTATCTGGGAAGTCTCATCAGCCCTTGTGGTTTAGTATGTGACGAAATCTCAGCACGGATACAGAAGGCTCGACTAGCTTTCGCCAACTTGCGTCATTTATGGCGTAGGCGAGATATCCGTCTATCAACCAAAGGACGGGTTTACTGCGCAGCAGTTCGTTCCGTCCTACTTTATGGCAGTGAAACATTATCGGTAAGAGTAGAGGATATCCGTAGGTTATTAGTATTTGATCATAGGTGTCTTCGAAATATTGCTCGTATATCCTGGGACCATCGAGTAAGTAATGCAGTTGTTAGGAAACGGGTACTAGGTAAGGATGGTAAATCAATTGATGAAGTAATGAAACTTCATCAGTTGAGATGGCTTGGACACCTGTTACGTGTGCCCAACGACCGACTGCCACGACGTGTGATGCTCAGTGGTATAGGAGTAGGTTGGAAGAAAGCTAGGAGCGGCCAGACCAAAACATGGCACAAATCTATGAAGTCACTGACGAGTGAACTGAACCGTGTTGGTAGGTGTAGACTACCTGGTTGGAATCCGCGAGATGATAGGAACAGATGGTTAGAGACCTTGGATCACATGTTTCAAAATTGTCTGCAATGGTGCAGGTACATCCACTCTTTTTGTTCTCACAAATTCTACATGTCCCCTTATTTATTTTTCCAAATTTATTTCACTGTATTATACTCCTTGAATAACATAATGATGCTAAAGAGTGTCAGTAAGTTTTAGATATGTACAATCTGTGTTGTGTAAACATGAACTGAGTTATTAAGTGTTAAACTAATGCACATTTTCTCCATTATCCCTTACTACTTACTAATACTCAGTAGTCAGTTTATAGTTTCAAAAAGACTATCAATTGACAGTATAGTGTACACTTGTGTTATGTTCCTGTTTATCTTCATTTTCGGCTCTGTTGTAATTACAACCTCTTGACAGTTTACTCATAGTTGATTTCAGTTCTTTTTGTCTGCACATTTCTTTATTTAAAAACACATATGATGACACATGATCTTAGCTCAGAGAGCCGAAAACCGACACAACAGCCTTTATAACTGTGCTCATATTCTCTATTTCATTGTTGGCTTTTGACACATCTATCGGTTATCATTTACACTAACGTTTATTGTAATTATTCTTTATGTGATTACAGTAAAAAAGCATTTTCTGTTCTATATTAAAAAAAAGGAAACGCGTTAACCATCACAGATACTTCATGAGCTGAGGGTTGTGACTAGGACTGTTCGTTGAGAGTAGACAAACAGCCACTAAGCCTACCAACTATTAAATAACTGATTTATTTTCCGCTCGTTGATTTCTACTCCGGACCCATTGAGTGTGACTAATTATAGCTGTGTTCAATAAATTGTTATTGATGAGGGGATTTTTGGAGATTTTCGTATTTTCAAAGTTGAATTCACGAGCCGATCTAAGCCAGACTATTATTGAAAAACTAAAAGCAATAGATTGCCATTTCGTCCCAGTATGGAACTCCTCAGAAGTACGCATCCACGATGTCGTATGTGAGATTCGTGAACAATTAGCCTCTAGACCCCTAAGTCGGCGTCTAACGATGTTAATGTTTGACTTCAATCGATTCAGCGTTCGAAGCCCGTGCGTGGGATCCTGAGTACGCACTTATACGGAGTCTCATAAGACGAAATAGCCATTTAGTGCCTCCAGGATCTTAATATTGGTCTAGCTTAGATTGGCTAGTTGAATCATTTACAAGACAAAAGTTTTTTTTCGAATTTATATTCTCACATGTAGCTCAATTAACTAGTTAGATGATTCAGTAGGGTTTAATAGTGAGTTTCGTTAACCAGAAACTACGAGATACGAATTGATAAACTACTTTTGAAATACCAAGAAATGGTAATGAAAATAATCAAATGACCATAAGATACAAGTAGAAAGAGAAAAGATAATGATTTGTGGAATGTATTAAAAGGGTTGAAGAATTCTGGACGACGGCCTATGCTCCACTGGGAGTAACAGAAGTAAGTAAGTATTAAAAAGCTTGTATGTTATAAATAAACGTGAATAATACAAATCACTTGTTTTTCATCTGAAGGTTCTTTCTTCCATTTATTGTAATGGGATAATTGTCTCAACAGAAGAAAAGGCCCCTATCATATCTGAAAGAATAAAATATTTCCCATGGCTACATGAAGATTGTGATAATTAAAATATATAATACTTAATCATAATAATGACATAATGACAAGAATCAATATTTTTTTATTTGTTTTTAATGATGAACGGAAGAGATCCAAAAAAACTCCTGGAAAAAAGGCTATGAAAACATTGAGAAACATCATATCCAATCAGCATTCAATAGAAGTTTTACCAGAAACATCTAGGAAGTAGAAAGTCACGTGTCGAGTTTCTGATTGATTGATTACTTATACTGATCCTATGTTCTAGCAATTTCCGGAAACCTAAGGCCATCTGTACATAAACGAATCTTGGAGTAAAGCGTTTTTTTTCATATTTCGCTCGTTTTCACTCGTGTTCAAGTCACTGTAGATTTAGCCTGGTAGTTACTAGAAGAGCTTCGGAACTGAATCTAGTGTTCAATTAGGAGACTTATCACTTACGATCTATTATTGTTCAATATGGTGAATTAACAGAGGTAAGTTGTTTGATTTCAAATAGCGGTCTAGAAGTTAAGTGAGCGATGTGTAACCTAAAGATCTTGTGTTCAATCTCAGGAATTGGGTCGTCGGTGCGCACTGTTAGGAAGTCCTATACTACAAAGAAACAATTGTACGGTGGTTTCTGGTTTTCAACAATTGTCAAACTAGGATCAGTTCGTAACGTAAACTATAACAACTAAAAAGAACTTAGATGGTTACATCGTTGACTTATATCAGATGGAGAATCATTGAATAAACCAGTGAGGATTCTATGATTTATCAAGATTTTTCGCTGGTGTGCAAAAGACAACACAATGTAACATAGAACGAAGCTAGAAATTATCAGATTTTCGAACCAGTATGATATCACATAAATTCAAACCGGTAACAAAACTTATAAAATGCTCCCCCCCCTATATGGTATGTGGAGAGAAGTGGTAGATGATCCCTTTGAGAGACAGTACCTTTTTATTAGAGACATTGATATTAGACAGAACAATGGAAAATAAACATCCACTATAAACTGCTGATGACGACTGAGAAACTTCATACAGTACAATGAGTCAAGGTTTGAATAGTCCACATCTAACAACTAAAATTAATTCACGCTAAAATCACTCTAACTATTACTATTACTAACCCTTAACTGTTTCACTCTGTACATCGTTTTTGAACTCCAATCAACTGTAAATATTTCAGTTTTACCGGTTCATGGAGGCTTGGAAAGCTCAGTGGTGATGTGGGTTCGAATCTTAACAAGCATATAAACCTAGATAGAACAGGTTTGCTGTAGAGTACCTACAAACGAGAATTATCTTCAAATTGAACTAATCTCTACAAACTTTCAATTCATATAACAACTATATTATTATTAGCTTTATTCAATATTATAGTTTTGATACAACATGGAATTTTCAGTGCAAAATATTTCAACAAGTTTCCTTTTCTTATTTCTTGAACGATCCTGACGATAAATATTGAGTGATTGCAAGTTATATGTTAGCAGTTCGGGAATCGACATTTGAATAAGGTTCGTTCTTTTCAATGCATATTACCAGACAACATCAGGATGATGCTGAATGTACTTTTTCGTAACCTGTACAGTGAAATGTCGTAAACTTTTCATAAACGCACCTGAATAGGGTTGTACGCTCAATAGACATAATGATGTGTTAAAATAAACAAGAAAACAGAAAACTTGTTGAAATATCTAAATGGTAGGAACAGTTAGCCCAGATATTTAAGCAGGCCGCCGACAGCTCAAAAATAAATATTTAAGGTAATTAGAGGTACTATACAAGAAACTTTGCCTGATCTAGATTTCGAGCTAGTTGTTATTTATCAGCAAGGGATATCTGCAACATCCTCAGTAAGATTCGAACCCTCGTCACCTAGTTTCACAGTCTCAAACATTAGTACAGACTATTCAGAAAGTGAATAATCTTCTTTACAACACAAATATATGTAATGAGAAACTCAAAGGTCTCAGTACAACCATATGTACTTGTCTATTAATATAAGTAGTATTTCATTCAAATTAAAATGTTACACGGTAGAAATAGACAAACGGAAATGTGAAAAAGAAATTTGTAAGATTGGAAATTGTCAGTGTTTACCTTTTTTGAATGAACAACCTTTTATAACGAGCTAAAAATTGCTAAAAAAAAAACAAACAAACAAACACAGGAAGAAATAAGAAAAAGAACCAAGAAACAACAAATGATTGAATTCATAAGTCAATTGAAATTAGATCATCATGGAAAACCTGGAAGTACTGGACGACCGTTCCGTCCTATTGTGGCACTCCTCAGCAGTGTGCATCCATGATCCCGCTTCTGTGACCAGTGGATTTTAACGGGGTCATTTGTGAGATAGGAACTCACTGATAACAATGGTGGATGTGTCGCTCGATTTCGTGGATTAGTTAAAGTTAGACAGTTGGTCAAAGTGAAATTTAGTGTCAATCCATGATATCACTGACTATTGACAAGTTTAGAAAACCTGGTTATGGTTTGAGTGATAATTGTGATCAGTAAGTGAAGAAATTGATTATGATAGAACTGATACATTTACTCTTTGTATTCCCATAGATTTGAGTCCCAGGATCCCGTCAAAAGATGTTACTTTATTGCTTCTTCTTCAATAGTATACTCAATGTTTAATAAGATGGTGGTTGGATGTAGTCAACAAGAAACCCTGGAGCTACGTTTCGTGCTACTTGGCACTCGTCCTGAAGGTGACTGTGAAGCTGAGCGACACGGGATTAAATCCGTCAGATAGCATCAGTCCCCTCAAGATTACAGGTATACCTTGCTGACGAGTACCAAGTAGCAAGAAACCTAGGTCCAGGGTTTCCTGTTGACTACTTCCAACCACCATCTTATCACAACATAGTGCACATACAATGTCGAGTCACATAGATTAGTGGCCACATTGCAACTTGGTCGATATGATTCGATCTGTACTAAGAAGGACCTGACATACATGACAGTGGCCATTACCTAGTGATCAATCAAGTATCAATGTTTAATCTTTTTTAATATGGTTAATCCGAATATTATTTCAATTTTTTTATCTCATAGTGGTGGGCCCGACCACCACGTCAGGGTAGCAGCTACAGTCGGGATAGATGAACGTGTACTCGGTCACTGTATCATATTACATAATAAAGTTGATTGAAATGATATGCTTAAAGTAGATATTAGATTCATTCAACAAATATTAAGAATAGTCAGTATGGGGTTGTGGAGATTAAGTTTTTGATTGAGATGATGAACCGATTGATGTTAGACCACCACTGAAAACCTAGAAGCACTGGACGACCGTTCCGTCCTATTGTGGCACTCCTCAGCAGTGCGCATCCACGATCCCGCTTACGGGAACTGAGCCGGCATCCAACGTATTAATGTCTAATTTCAACCAATCCACGAATGTGCGTGACCATCTTCTACTGCACTGACGTAGATACCTGTCTCTATCCGACATACTACGAATAAATTAAGTAATAAATCAGTGATCAGATTTCTTGTGTATGATTTTTATGGTGAAAAAATATTCAACTGTAATAAAAAAGATCACACAACTTACTTTATAAGCTTCACCTTGTTCAGTTTGGTCTGACAATCGATTGGGAGATAGTAGACGAGGGTTTGGAAAGAAAAAATACATAAGAATATAATGTTCCAATTCGCCAAAAATTGTCTGCATTAAATGTATGCAGTATTTATTTAGACACGTAAACATTGGTACAAGGAGGCACAAAACAGATATGCGCCACATAACTCACTTAATTTGTGTGTAGGCTGTGATATTCTGACAGGATGCCCAACCCGAAACAGGTGGTTTTCTAAGTTGGGCCACACCCAGAGCCTTTAACCAAAAGGTCTAATCCACAAAGCAGTGAAATACCATAAGGAGATCCAGTCCCATGGTAGCCGGTGACCAACAATAGTCAATCAGTAACGACGTAGAACTTCGTACGTACGTACATCAGTTCGAGTTGCCATACAACGTTACCACACAGATACAATTGTCGATTCAAATCTCATAGTGGTACAGGTAGTAAAAGTATAAGCAGTAATCGGAAACATTAGGGTTTGAAGATGTTACTCAAGGAGTATAATCCAGTGAAATAAATTTAGAAAGAGAAAAAAAGAGACATGAAGAATTCAGAAGATTAGGATTTGGGAGAACACAAAAAGTAAATGTCATTTGTTTCCTTAGGATCCTGGAGCCCATGTACACCACTGGTTTGAGATGAGGGTTCTCCAACTCCCCTAGGTAGATCCTCTGTATCCACCAAATGTATGCAGAAATATAACCCTTTATATCTAGGACTCAACTTTAAAGAGGACAACACAGAGGTGACATTTTGCACACGTCAAGTTACAAGATCTATTCAGAGGATATTAAACGTCATCAAGTTACATTTGATCTTCACAAATGAAACAGTACTTAAACAGAGAATTAAGGCTAGCTTATTGATGACAGACTCTTTCGTGTGTATATATATATGCGAAATGAACTGTTCTTGTGAAGCTAGTGACATAGTCTATACACACATGACTTTATCCCTGGGTGCTTGTGAACATGTATTGGAATGGTTCAGAAAGATGTTACAAAATCTATTATTAATAGCCCTCCCATTGTTTTTCATTTAGTACGTGTTAGTGAATATCATATTGAAATAGATGAAGATTTCTCAACAGTCTATTGTTATTACTTCTTCATATCCACTAAATAAATAATTATCTCTCCTCAACAAAATATGTTAACAAATTTTCATTATTACAGTTTTTAGTCACGAACTGATTTTAGCTAGACTACCCTTGAAAATCTAGAAGCGCTGAACGATCACTTCGTCCTAGTATGGGACTCCTCATTGGTAGTGCACATCCACAACTATGCACCCAAGGATTATATGCAGTACCTCCAGCTTCACAAACGAATACCATTCAGTCGGCAACAAACGGTAGAATATATCCGACTCCAATGAATGGTAAAAACGTTAAATACCGATGGCCTTGAGTTGGCCAATCAGGATCAAGATAACGTCTGATGTATTCTGCGTGAAATTTGAGCATAGTCAGTTGGTAACAAACAATTCTATTGGGTGATAACTCTAACTCGCAAAACTAGTCCGACTCCCACTATGCAAACTTGGCCGTTTCCCTTTATTATAAAGGATAATTTGATATGTGAGAGTTAATTATTTAAATTAAAGTTGTTATTACGGTTTGTATTTATGATTGTCTTGTAAATGGGAAGTGTTTTTTTTATTGGCTGATAAGTTAACCAACATTGCCAGTGTAGTATACTTGAACGCAATAAACTTATGACATTATACAGCCCCCAAATGCCCTGCTACGGCCGAGAGTGGGGAGAATCCGCTCTCCTTCTCGAAATGCTTTCACATGGCCACGCGTATATAGCCTCTGCCAGGGAAGTTCCACTCATTGCCTTTCCGTGGCTGGGGAGTTGTTTACAAAATTGAGAGGATGAAAAGCGGATGTCCGGCGCTTTAACCGGGTTGGTAGACATAGAGAGTCCATCTAGGGGAGTTGGAAAACCCTGATTCCAAACCAATGGTGCACATGGGCTCCAGTATCCTGAGGGAAAAAATGGCGTATAAACCAGTCGTTGGTCACCGGCTACCATGGGACTGCATCTCCTTACGATGCTCCACTGCCTTGTGGATCAGACCTTCAGGTCGAAGGCTCCGGATGTGGTCCCCTAAGAAAACCACCTGTTTCGTTTCGGACACCCGGTCAGTATCACAGCCCTCACACATACCAATGAGATTTATGTGGCGCACATGTATTTGGTGCCTCCTTGTACCAATATCTATGTGTTAAAATAAATAATAAATAAATAAATGACATTATACAACTATCTACTAATAACCGAGGTGGATCATTGTCTACTAACACCTGACACAATTGAACTTCATTGCTTATGGCTTTATTAGGTGTTAGATCATTTCATAACCTTCTTTGTATAACTAGTATTTCTAATCAATTTATTAATTCCTTCTTAATGTTCTTCAACGTGACAATGATCTCCTATCTTTAATTTGTTTCTATTTTGACCTATTACATAATTTTTTGTTGTTGAATAATTGAAGGCATTTTAGATGGATGATACAATATTTTTCTATTTTATTATAGACTAATGTATTCAAACTAATTATACGGTATTGTTGGAGAGAAAATTCCCTATGCTGAATTGTTTACCTAAGTTAACACACAAGACCGAAAGTCCTGGGTTTGAGTACCGTATTTGGGATCATGCATGAGCACTACTGAGGAGTCTCGTATTAGGACGAGACGGTCGTCCAGTATTTCGAGGTTCTCAATGATGGTCTAGTTTAGATCGAATCATAAATTCAATTATTAAAATAATTTGTTTGTTTGACTGCTATTCACTTTCACGTTCAATGAATTGTTATCCGAAATGAGAATGTAGTTGGTGGGTTGATAAAATTAGTCTCGTTATAAATGACTGTACCACCTACTCACATTATTTCATTCCCATCACCACGTGTTGGGTATGCCTGAACATCGATTACCACGACGCGCAATACTGATTAGTGTTGGGGATCGTTGGAAGAAAGTTAGTGGAGGCCAAACCAAAACGTGGCATTAATGCTTGAAGTCAATAACTTCTGGTCTCGGCCATGTTGGTAGATGCAAACTACTTGTTTGAGGGTCCTTGTAACAATTGTAACCAATGGTTGGAGACTCTAGGTGACATGGCTCAAAATCGATCACAATGGCGTCGGTGTATACACTCTCTGTCTTCCCTTAAACTAAGAGATTAAAATCGCTTCATATCTTTCTTTCTACGCACTAATTCTTTCTTCCTGTACTATATCCTTATACACAATCTTTCTTTCATATATTACCATCATTGAACTAACTACTTATATGAATCCCGTGTTAATTTTGTTGTGCTAATGCGTTATGGCAACTTGTACCGGTACATATATGTGCCTGGTCCTACGTTGTAGCTGACTGAATAATCCTATCACCAATCGATCGATAATGAATCTTTATTGACTGAGGTAGCTTAGATGTGTGTTATGTATATTAAACCACTGTTTTCTTCAACGTTCATTGTCGACTAAAGTAGGAGTAAATATGAGAAGAATTAGAGGGAGCTAAACCAAAGCAAAACAAAACGAACCAACTTGGTATCAACCAATGAAATTATTGACTGTCAATTTGTTTTATACTAGTTAGTACTTAATACCTAGTTAGAGTCTAAAAGATAACTGTGACTAATGTTCGAATACATTCAATATTTCAAAGTTATTCTCTAGTGAGTTAATAATTTCTACAAAATTACTTAAGGCTATATCGAGGCAATCCATACAAGATGCATATATGCCAACATGAGACTGATCAATTGCAGTCCTAAATAACAATCGGTAGGTACAAGTAAAACAACATCAAGTGAATTTAAACTTCATCCCATTGCACAAGCCAATGGCTATCAGGACTCAGTAGCAACTAAGTGGATAACGCGATGGCGTTTGAAGCGGACAGTATTGGGTTCGAGTCCCAGAGTGAACATCAACTCTGAGGTGCAGGTACATTCAGCTAACGAGTCCTAAATAGGACGAAACGCGAGTCCTGGATCCCACTATCCATCTTTGCTTAAAAAGAGCTTGTGACTTAAGGCTATACCGAGACAATCCGTACAGGATACACATATGCCGACATGAGACTGATCAATTTCAGTACTTAATACCAATGGGTAGGTACAAGTAAAACAACACCAAGTGAATTTAAATTTACTTTAGATTGCATTCAATATATGCATGAAACTTACCCATCTCATTATCAACATCGTCACCAATATTCTTTGTTGACTTTTATGCAAAGTAGTGTGTTTTGGTCGACTTGTTGTAATAATGATGATGATGATTGTTGTCGACTAAGTACACCATCTGAAATCGGTCTGTTTTTAGCATTCAACTTAGCTAAATGAATACGCCAAACTGTATTACAATTACGTATACGATAAGATAATTCACGATTACATAACATTAAGAAACCAAGTGATGTTAATGGTAAATAACACAATATTTCACACTAAAAAAAGAGATGACATGAAATGATAAGTAGGAGATTTATGAACGGAACATGCTATTGAAGGGAGTCAACCATGTAATTACTCTCAAGGCTTTGGCCTATATATTCTTGTCGAAGTCAAAAGGAGGATCACATATGTATATACATTGTGCACACATTAGATTTTGATTGGGCAATTAAACCTTTCTGATCTTTTGCACAGTGAATTTGGTATACTGTGGGAAGTGAATATAATAATTGAATCGAACTTAATGATACAACAGATGGACACAATTCATATGTTACCCTACTGAAACTATTTATCAAGAGCATTGGCATATTATGTTCATAGTTTTTTGTTTCATACTATTTCACAACTGAGAAGTGTTCCCTGAGTACGACAGTGGGCATACTAATTTAAAAAGGCGTGATTTTATATAAACAACACGGAAATGTTGGTAAAATCATTTAATATTGTAGACAGTTTTCACTATAGATTGATCACATTTGGATGTTGTCAACAACTGGTGAGCACTGAAAAACTGTTTCGTTTCAGTATCAGATCCCTCAGCAATGCACACCCACGATCCCAATGATATTCGAATCTAGGATCTTTATGTTTCGCAGTGAACGCCTGCTGTGTTTGAAAAGATTACGAGTTCACCTAATTCTGCGAATGGAACAAAGACTTAGTGACACAATGACCAAATAAGCTAACTATTCCGATGCGTCCCAGCTCCGCTAACTAGAGAGAGAAGTTCAGGTTTAGAAAGGGATGAATGTATTCCACAAGCAGCTAGAAGCACGAACAACAACCACAAGCACGATTCAAGCGTATATATACAGCATAAGAATGTCCTTGACAAAAGATCATATTAAAAGAGACAACAAACCAATGACATTTAAGGTCCTCCCAAGTGGGAAATACGATATGAAGGTGGAAATGGGCGTTTTTTGGCAAGACATTTACCAAGTAAGTTCTAAGGACCGAACATCCCTAACAACCCCTAACTGCCAGAATCAGTAAACAAGGGATTAGTGGTACAATTTTAATCGATTAAATATCGGTTTGAGTCCATATAGAACAAGTTTCTTGAAACTGAAATCAGTATGATATAAGAAATTGTGAATGATATTGGTTGGAATTAATTATAGTAGTATAGAAGCGTTTATAATACCTTTCCCAAGTATTCTCAATTAATTTCGGAGGTCTTAATACTCTGTATTCTATAACTACTGTTTTCAGATACCGATATAGTCCACCCTCATTTTATCATGTATGTAAGTGATTTTGTGTAAAATTAGGGTAATTCCAAGGTAATTATTTTTTAAAATTGATCTTAATCATAGAGTCATTTGTAAATTAACTATAAGGTAATATAGGAGTAGTATTTAATAGTTCTTCAGTAGTGGGTAACTTTATAACCTTGTACAGTTTATTTATTTAAATACAAACATTGGTACAAGGAGGCACCACATAGATATGTGCCACATAAATCATTCGATTTATGTAAGGGCTGGGATACTGACCGGGTGCCCAAACCGAAGCAGATGCTTTTCTTAGGGGGCCACATCTCGAGCGGACTCTCCCCACTCTCAGTCGTACCATGGCATTTGGAGGCAAGAAGGACTCTAGGCTTCTCATACCGGTCAACACGTCATTGGTTTGGCACAATGCCAAGGCTGTATAAGTAATTCTGATTGCGGGATCTTATCACATGATAATCAACCAGATAAAGTCATAACAAATATTGAGTCTTAAAACTACCTTACAGTTTTTATTCAATAAATTAATCTCTAGATTTAATCTTTTTCTTTAGTATCATAGATATTACTGAAATGGTATGATAAATTGAACAGATGAACATTTATAGCAGAAATTTAAACAGTTAAGATCACGAGTCAATTGAAGCCAGACCACTATGGAAAACCTGGGAGCACCGGACGGTCGTTTCGTCCTAGTGCAAGACTCCTCAGCAGTGCGCAGACACGACCCCGCCTCGCGGGGTTCGAACCCAGGACCTGTCAGTCTCGTGCCAGGCGCTTAAGCAACTAGACCACTGAACCGGCATCCAACGGTGTTAATGTCTAAATTGAATTAATTCACGAAATTGAGCGACGCATCCACCATTGCCATCAGTGAGTTACTACCTCGCAACTGACCCGTTTATAGCAGACTTTAGCATGACTCTGACTGATTAGTATAAATGAAGTGGAATGAATTTTTGGGAGAGACTACAATATGTTAACGAACCAATCAGATTTAAGATAACAGATCTTGGATTTTGGCGCGAGATTCACTCATCTATATGGATAAATAAAGTTTTGGCATAATAGCTGATGTTAATTTGTGATGAAAACCCTAATTCTAATTTTTAACCTTAATAATCAATTGTAAGTTATAATCCTTATTCTTTATACAGGTTTATAGCCCTCATGTCGGTCCTAGTACATAAATGGACATTCTCAAAGTTACACTAGCGTCACATAAAGGTCATCCATTAATGACAGTCTCACTGACCGTACCATATAAATGAATATAATGTATATATGTATATATCAATCGCTTACAAATAATTCACTTGGAAGAGTACATAAATGAAGTCTTGGAGATAAATTATATTCTGAAAAAAAATATAAAAACGAAGATGGAATATAACTAAAAAAACACATAAAAATTTCTTGAAGGTAAGACCTTCAAATCAAGTGACAAACATTATTCATAGCAAGATCATCGATGAGAATTCTGAAAGAGTTCCATATTAGAATAAAAACAAGTTTTCTAGTATTCTCTGATTTAAATGATGTCCCAATCTGTGACAAATACAAACAATGAAATACTCACAGTCCTATTTCATGCCCCCAATGCTCTGGTATGGTCAAGAGTGGGGGGGAGTTATATCTCCCTCTCGAAATACTCTCACATGACCACGTGCATACAACCACTGTCAGGGAAGTCCTACTCACTGTCTTCTCGTGGTGGCGGCGTTGTTTACGAAGTGTAGAGGATGGAAAGAGAGTGTCCGGCGCTTAACCGGGTTGGTGGACACGGAGGCTTTACCTGGGGAACTTGAAAAACTCTCATTCCAAACCAATGGTGCACATGGGCTCCATCATCCCGAGGGAACAAGTAGCGTATGAACCAATTGTTGGTCACCGGCTTCCACGGGACTGCATCTCCTTACGATGCTCCACTGCCTTGTGCATCAGACCTTCAGGTCGAAGGCTCGGGATGTGGCTCCCTAAGAAAACCACCTGCTTCGGTTGGGGTACCCGAGTAGTATCACAGCCCTCACACATATCAAATGAGATTTGTGTGGCGCATATGTATTCGGTGTCTCTTTGTACTAATATTATGTGTTTAAATAAATAATAAGGTGAACAGAAATGTAACAAAATGGTTTCATTTTCACCTCATTCGGATTATTTAAAGCTAAATTGTGTTAAAAAGGGGAACGAAACAAGTCATTTTCTTTGAATATGGTCTTATATTGTAAATTATTATTACCAATTCTCTCTCTTGCTGCCTGTTATCCGCTTATTTATTTACTTAAACACATAAACATTGGTACAAGAAGGAACCAAATATATATGCGTCACACTTCACCATCGATTTCTATGAGCAATGGAATACTGCCGGGTACCTAAACGGAATTAGATGATTTTCTTAAGGGACCATCCCCCGAATCCTTGACCTAGAAGTCTAATTCACAAGGTAAAGAAGTGACATTAGGAGATGGATTCTCATTGTGGCCGGTGACCAACAATAGGTTCATCATACGCCAGTTGTTTCCTTAGGATCCTGGAGTCTACGTACACCGTTAGTTTGGAATCAGGGTTTTCCAACTTCCCTAGGTGGTAAGTCCGTGTCCACTAACCCGGTTAAAGTACCGGACGTTTGCTTTTCGTCCTCCCAATTTCGTAAACAACACTCCCGCCACGAAAAGGCTATGAGTAAATCTTCCCTGACAGTGGCTGTATACGCATGGCCATGTGAGAGAATTTTCAGTGAGAGAGAGAGAGAAAGTGAACTTTCCCCACTCTCGGCCATACCAGGGTAGAGATGTGTATTCAATGTTTGTCTTCCTTTAAATTCTAAGTTTTGAAAATTACTTTGTACTTTTAATTTAGTGAACTAATCCACTCCGCTAAAAGCATATTCCCTAGGTTCAATTTTTTTTCTACTACTACTGCTGATGTTTCCACAACTCATCTTGACAATTTTATCACATCATGTGCTAGAGCAGTATGATAACTTGAACCGATTCATATGTGGAAAACGTCTTATATTGCTTATTACTACCATATACCATTTACGGTTGTACAGTTTGTAAAGTAAACCACACACCCGAATTTCTCCCTCTGTCGTCTGTCGGTTATTTTTAGTGAAAGTTTTTGTAAATTCCTTTCTGAAGTCTTCAGTAACTAAGAAAAAGTTTAAAAAATACATCACCCAATCAACATCCAGTGGAAACTTCCTAGAAACCTCTGGAAAAAGTGATGAGTTATATATCATATTCTGATTAAATGAATACCGACTTAAGCTTCTAAAATACCAAGGTTACATATAAAACCCATAAATATTCTGTACTCAAACTATTTATTTATTTTAACACATAGATATTGGTACAAGGAGACATCAAATACATATGCGCCACACAAATCTCATTCGACATGTGTGAGAGCTGTGATACTGCCCGGGTGCCCAAACCGAAGTAGGTGGTTTTCTTAGAAAGCCACTCCCCGAGCCTTCGACCTGAAGGTCTGATGCACAAGGCAGTGGAGCATCGTAAGGAGATGCAGTCCCGTGGAAGCCGGTGACGAACAATTGGTTTACACGTCAATTGCTTCCTTAGGATCCTGGAGTCTACGTACACCGTTAGTTTGGAATCCGGGTTTTCCAACTTCCCTAGGTGGTAAGTCCGTGTCCACCAACCAGGTTAAAGTACCGGATGTTTGCTTTTCGTCCTCTCATTTTCTTAAACAACACCCCCGCCACGAGAAGTCAGTGAGTAGGACTTCCCTGGCAGAGGCTATATACGCGTGGCCATGTTTGAGCATTTCGAGAGGGAGAGCGGACTCTCCGCACTCTCGGCCGTACCAGGGCATTTGGGGGCACTCAAACTAGTCTTGAAAGTAGAAATTCTCTTCATTCCCCCCTATCATTTAGCTTTTGCTCAAAGTTCAAATGGTAAGAGATTTGTAGGGGACTATTAAGGAAATAATTAAAAAGTTAATGATGTTAATGGGGGAGACTATAATTTATGAACGAATCAACCAGATTTAAGATAACAGGTCTTGAATTTCAGCGCGAAATTCACTCATCCATTTAGATAAATAGAGTCCTAGCATTATAGCTGATTTAGTTCTAGATAGAGACCCTAAATTCAATTCTTAACCCTAATCATCAACTATAAATCATAATTCTAATTCCTCACACTGGTTTATAACCCTTATTTGGTCCTAGTTAGTAGGTGAAGATTCCCAAGGTCAGTTTGGCGTCGCTCGAAGGTCGTCCATAAATTATAACCTCACCATGTTAAACATTTATGTACTAAATAAATTAAAGACGGAAATATTAAGAAAGAAAACATTTATCTACCTGAATGAATAGCCAATAGTATAGGTTCAATTAATTCATCTTTAATTCGTATAGATAACAATCGTAAATGTCTGTATAGAAGATTTAATTTATTCGTAGTAGCTAAATTAAGCATACATACAAATGAAGAGAGACACACAAAGAGAAGATTGTTAGAAAAGATACAAGTTATGAAAAGGAATAGGCAACTAGAAAGACAAATAATACAACGTATAAATCAAGTTTGTCTTTCCAATCCAATGGGAAATACTCTAAAAAAAAATCGAAACGGAAGGGGATCACTGAAACGATCTTAGAGAGGTTCCTGTTTATTTAATCGTTCTACGCCTAACCCTTAGACAATAAATGGAGTCTCTTCAACCCCAATATCTTGCGAATAGTTTTACTTAATGAATTGAACGAATGAAATCACATTAGATAATCATAATAGTTTATCATCTTACTAGAATATAAAACAATACCATAAGTATTAGTTATTTCATAAACAAACAAAACAATATTGTAGGGCATCTAATCTCTTAATCTTGTGTATTGATAAACTTAAATGTGTGAAGTTTTGAAAAGTGATGTTGTAATGTAGCTAAGTTAAAGAAATGAACTCAGTCAGTGTTTTGAATTTCAGCTGGAATAAATATCCATGGATCGACTTCTAGTTCTAAGGTGTTCATGTGTCAACTTTTTCTGTCTTGATGACATTATTAGTTTTATTCTGTAATATTAGATCTCGATCGTTGTTGCTACCTTGATGTGGTGATTGAGATTGCTTATCATTATGAACCAACCGAGCTATACTGGCTACAACAATCGTTCCTCAAGGTCCTATTATGTCAGACAGGTCGGTTGAAGAGCGGTAAGACTAAAAGCAACAAACCCAAGGTCCGAAGGCGAAGTCGTACTGCTGACTGTACAGAGGTGTGACAACAGTAAGGTGTTTCCTTCAGACAACTAGCATGACAGCGATGCTACCTTCCTAAAAGGACAGTTGGGGTTAGAAAAGGTCGATCCTAAAAATGCACACCTTACCCTATCCCACAGCTATCCGTCTCCGGCGGCAAGGTCTCAACAAGCACGGAGCTAACACGAAAATTACTCACAGAAATGTTGTATGTGACCGACCTCAAACAGTTGTCCCTTGGGCACTGAGGTCACGCCCTTAGGTCACTAAGACCACCTCTGATCCAATTTCCTTTTCAGGTACCTCCAGAAGAACCCTTCCACGGTGTGGGCAACCGGGAAGTGATAACTGCCCTCATATCTCTAACAGCACTCAAGACCACCGACTGACTGTATTATTAGATGATTAGAGGTAACCAGTAAGAAACCCTACTTGATTTAGGTTTGATCCTAGTTAGCACTTGTCATCAAGACAAACTTGAAATTTTGAAGGAGTTAATGCTCTATGTGAGATTTAAAAACCTATTATCCAGCTTTACAGTCTGAAATAACAACGCCATCGAGTTATCCGGTCCAGGGATGAGTACTAAGTAGCTATCAATCAAACGTATTTTACGATTCATTAACACTGAATTTGAATATAGTTATTCAATATTATTTGAAGTGAATGATAGTTAAGTTGGTTGAAAACTCGTTATTTAAAGATTGTTTCATTTACAATACTCTTTCAACAAAAAAAAGACTAAATCATTGTTTATGGGGTCGGTTTGTTACTCAATGGAAGGTCAAACTAGAACACATTATTTGAACAATTTTCAACTAGTCAGTTTTAGTAAATGGATTAAGCTACTTCTATGAATCCCACATAAACTCTTTGATTTTTACTACCAATAACTTCTCCTGGAGCCCTTACAAAGCTAATGCCAGTCCAAAACCCAAGTAGAGAATACCTGAGAATGGGGTTAGCAACCTTATTCGATAAAAAAAGGTAACCAGAAAAAAAACGTTGGTACAAGAAGGAACCAAATATATATACATCACACTTTACTATTCAATTTGTGTGAAAACTAGAATACTGCCCGGGTACCGAGACCGAGGTAGGTGGTTTTCCTAGGGGGACGACTCCCCGAGTCTTTACCCAGAAGTCTGATTCACAAGTGAGAGGAGTGACATTAGGAGATGTCGTCTCATGGTGGCTAGTGACTAATAATAGGTTCATACGCCATATTTTCTCCCAGGATACTAAAGCCAATGTACATCACTGGTTTGGAATGAGAGTTTTCCAACTCACCTAGGTGAACCCTCCGTATCCACTAACCAGGTTGAAGTGCCAGACATTTTTTTTTCGTCCTCCCATTATCATAAAAAACACTCCCACCGCGATTAGTACTTCCTGGAATTGGCTGTTTTTGCGTGGCCATGTGAGAGCATTTCGGAAAGGAAAGCGGACTCTCTCCACCATTCGTCGTACCAGGGCATTTGCGGGCCTGATGATGAAGTCATTGTTCAGTCAAATACTCTTTGTTTTTCAACATTTGTATGGAACAAAAACGGATAAAATGCTTTTCGAAGATAAGGATAATAATATCTACATGCAAAAAGTCTGTTAACTACTGAAAACTGATTTTGACATACATTTAACACAAAGAAAACATATCAAAATACTAACTACATCATATCCCCTTTAAAAAAGGGAATACTATGACGAAAGATTCACTTACATTGGTGTATGGCATCCTGCTTGATAAGATAAAGTTTTGTTTGTAAAATTAATTGTTTTCGAATAGGAAGATCTTGAACACTTGCTTAAAGAGAATAGAAATGTAACAAAGAAAAAAACAGAGATATGGCATTACTACTAGTACTTTAACGAACGAGTACACATGTGGAGACAACAGTCAGTCAGCAACAACGTAGAACCTCGTACGTACGTACATCAGTTCGAGTTGCCATAACACATTAGCACAGAGATGCAAATGTCAATTAAAATCCCATAGTGGTAGAGGTAGTAAAAGTATTTTGGTAAAACATGAAAACCATACATTCAATACTTTATTTGCAAATCCTCCATCAATTGTCTCAATTTTCATCGTTCCTTCATTGTTATTACAATTACTCTCTGTTCTCGTTCTCGTCGATTTGATCTTCTCAGCCTTCTGCTGTCAGGCATTCCACTTCTGACTAGCGTTATATGTTACTTATGTCGACATAAGTAGCATAAACCACATTGCTACTACTGGATACAAAATAATGGTTAGGTAGTGTTACAATATTTTAGCTATCTGGTTAGATTTCCCGAGATGTTAGAATTCTTTGTTTTAAATGATATAAGTAATATAATGTAATTCACAGGTTACAATGGCACAGATCAATTTTCTCAGTATATTCCATTTCATTTGGATTTACTTATATTTTTCTTCTTAACTGGTTTACTGTTGATTCTGTGCTCTCTGTTGTGACCTTTCTACATCCAGTAAAACGTACGGGAGTCATCTGTTGAATCTCTTCAACAAGTGTTCAAGGATAATTGAAGCAAACAGTTACTATTATCAGCTAGTTCGCCTGTGGCGTCAAAAGACCCACGTAAACGTTGTTCAGCTTGAATTGTTCTACCTACTTAGGGATAAAAAATCAACGATTAAGATTAGTACGTTTCTGAAGGTTAAGAGCTTCTTATAAAATTCAATGTTTACTTTCTTAGTGATGCAGTCAGCAGAGTCGTAGGTAGGGATGAAGAAAAGATAACGAGGTGGATCAGACCTTCAGGTCGAAGGCTCGGGGTGTGGCCCCATAAGAAAACCACCTGCCTCGGTTTGGGCACCCGGGCAGTATCACAACCTTCACACATATCAAATGAGATCTGTATGGCGCATATGCATTTGGTGCCTCGTACCAATATCTATGTGTTAAAATAAATAAATAAAATATACACACTAGTGACGGTCTTCAAGAGATATTTTCCTGAAGTTGTAATAAGAAGCCATGACTAGTGAAATCCAATCAAGTCTGTTGTGACATAGTAACTACTCACTGATAAAAAATAAAGTAGTATAAAATCCATAGAAATTTACCAGCAATACAAGTCATATTTCCATTTTGAAATAATGTAAAAATCAGTTTAATAGAATCAACTTGAGGATAATTAAATGTTAAACGTATAATTGATGACATCTCCTGATAGTATTGACTTAGATGATCTAAAGTCTAAAGAAAAAACAAAAAAAGAAGGTCAATATTACACATAACATGATCATATACTTACATATAAACCTTTCTCAATAGCGAATATATACAAAGGAATAGCCATTAATAGAATAGATGTATAATGTTGATCATTAGGTAGATTATCATTGATGAATTTCAGAATAGGTGTAGCTAACTATTAAAAAAAGAAATAAAGTATATAATGAAATAATCATGGAAACTATACTTCAATTTCTAAGGATTGTTTTATATCATCTAATTTTTCCAATGAATTAATATAGATTATATCACCATTAACAATACCAAGTTCTGATAGAGATTGATTTGAATAATTTATATTATAATAATCTTTTGCATTAAGACTTATTTGAACATTTTCTCTGAATAGATAAAAAGAAAGAAAGAAAACAAAAGTATCCATAAGTCATAATGAACATTTGAAATGTGATAACCGTTAGTTAGAATAAATAATGCCCACAAGTGTCCTGATATGACCGAGAGTGGGGAAAGTCAGATCTCTTTCTCAAATGCTCTCAAGTAGCCAAGTGCATACAACTACTTCAAGGGAAGTCCTACTCACTGTCTTCTCGTGGCATTACTGTTGTTTATGAAATTGAAAGGATGAAAAGCGAATATCCGGAGCATTAACCGGGTTGGTAGAAGACGGAGGGCCCATCTGGAGGAGTTGGGAAACCCTCATTCCAAACCAATGGTGTACATGGGCTCCAGAATCCTGAAGGAAAAATGGTGTATGAACCTGTTGGGGACGACATATCCCCAAAACTCATATTTTGTAATTTTATCATATCGATTAAATGTTTAAATATTTGAATGGCAATCAGTTGATTAAATAGCAGACAACTGATGACTCATTGATTATTGTTTAAAAATTTCCTATGATAAAATCGATATATATTTGTATAAATACGCTTGACTTGTATGCTTGATCTGCCTGCCTGACTTGGTATCTGCTGTTGCTTGTAGAATACACTTTCTACGCCCTACCAAGACTTCTTGATCGAGTTAGCTGAGTTGAAGACAACGGACCAGAATAGTCTATTGAGTCTCTGAATCCTGAGCCTTCGTTCCGTTCCGAATAAGTCGAATCAGTAGTATCCTCAGGGTTAACGAACCTAACAGAACCTATAACTAGTCACCAGCTGCCATGAGACTGCATCTCCTCGATGTTGCTCCACTGCTTTGTGGATCAGACCTTTAGGTCAAAGGCTCGGAGTCTGGCCCCTAATAAAACCACCTGCTTTGGTTTGTGCACTTGGGTAGTAAAGTACTTTCCATAATTACTTTACTACCCAAGTGCACACCTCAGGCAGAGTGAGGGCATACAACCACCTCTCTCCATTGTTCCATTTGAGCAGTGGGGTTAAGCAGGGTTGCCCAATCTCACCATTCCTCTTCAACTTTGCCATCGATGACATTCTGGAAACAGCTCTGATGAATGTAAGTAATGGTGGTGTGGATCTGTTGCCTGGAGAAAGACTTCTCGTCCTTGAGTATGCGGACGATATTGTCTTACTGTGCGATAATGCCCAAGCCATGCAATCCGCACTTAATCAGTTGGCAATCAGTGTCCGTAGATGTGGTATGTGCTTTGCACCTTCGAAGTGCAAAGTACTTCTACAAGACTGGCAGGATTCTAATCCTGTACTCACCCTGGATGGTGAGCAGATAGAAGTAGTCGAGAAGTTCGTGTATCTAGGTAGCTGCATAAGTGCTGGTTGTGGCGTGAGTGATGAGATCAATGCACGTATAGTGAAAGCCAGAGCGGCTTATACCAATCTGAGCCACCTTTGGCGTCTTCATGATGTTAGTCTGGCTGTGAAAGGTTGGATCTACAACGCGTCGGTGAGAGCAGTTTTGCTCTATGCTTCTGAAACCTGGACTATCCGTGTTGAGGACGTTAGACGACTCTCTGTTTTTGATCATCGTCGTCTCCAAAGGATTCCTGACATCCAGTGGCAACACCATGTTAGTAATGCAGAGGTTCGGCATCGTGTGTTCGGGCTCAGAGACGATAATGCAGTGGGTGTCACCATCTTGAAACACCAACTTCGGTGGCTTGGACATGTTCTACGAATGTCGTCCCAGAGAATTCCACGTCGTGCATTATTTGCCGACACTGGGACTGGTTGGAAGAAGCGGAGAGGTGGTCAGTGTATGACATAGTGTCGTGGTATAAAAGAAAGCTGCAAAGGACTGGCTTCTGTCGGACCTTCATGACTCCCTGGTTGGGGCCCGAGGGATGGTGCAACACAGTGGCTAGAGACGTTATCAGATATGGCTGAGAATAGAAGCCAATGGCGATCCTGCTGTAACCTTCTTTTACTTTCTTAATAAAAAGTGGTTGTATCTCCCTTAACTGAAAGGTTTCTTCTGATGGTACCTTTCCGTCCCCTCATTATTACTACACTAAATTACACCAATCTCTTCGTTATTGTTCTCTTGTTTTACATTCAATTAGTTACAACTGCCGCTTCCATTCCTCTCCTTTGTATTTTTGGATGAGTACTTGTAGTTATGCATAATACTGTTGATGTTATAAAACACTACTGAAGAGCGTATACATCAATCACGTTTTTGCTGACGTTAAAAACGTGAATCATTATCATACTTCAGTACAATATTTGTTCATCATTCTCATAAAACCTAGGCTGAAACGAGTTACTGGTTTAGAAATGAAGGTTATCAAGATCTAAAAAGTGATTACACATAAAGGTCTAAACTTCATGCAATACAGCTGTTTTTATCCCTCTAGTCAATGTGCATTCCGTTACATGTTACCTTGATATGTTGATTAAAAAAACTTAAATTCTTTATGGTTTTATCAATTCTAGTTGGAAGATGTATGAACATCACAAAACGTTAATCAAATGTCTGTCATGTCCGGTATTGAATGCACAAGCTTAAATCGTAAATAGTTTCTAAACCCAAGTTCCATTGTATTGAACTCTTTTCAATAATTTGTCATATTCAATCGGTTGTAGCTATCGTTTTCATTGCTCTTCTTTGAGCACTTTCATATAATAATATCTGTAGTTGTCGTTGTCCTAGTATGACTCATGAAAATCTAATCCCAGTTTTATTACGTCTTTGTCAGTCTTCTACATTTTGTAATGGCTCGAAAAAATTTTGGGCTGATAGGATATAGATATGGAGGATCCTTCTAGGGGATCTGGAAAACTCTGATTCCAAACCAATGGTTCACACGGGCTCCAGTATCCTAAGGGAATAAATGGCGTATAAACCAATTATTGATCACCGGCTTCCATGGGACTGCATCTCCTAACGCTGCTTCACTGCCTTGTGGGTCAGATCTTCAGGTTGAAGGCTCCGGGTGTGGCTCCCTAAGTAAACCACCTGCTCCGGTCTGAACATCCGAGCAGAGTACCACAGCTCACACACAAATCAAGTGACTTGTGTGGCGTATATGTATTCACTGACCCTTTGTACCAATATTTGTATCCAAATAAATGAATAGATAGGACAAAAATATGTGTCATGTTCGAGTATTATTTATTTATTTAGACACATAAACATTGGTACAAGAAGGCACCAAACAGGTATGCGCCACATAAATTATTCGATTTGTGTAAGGGTTGGGATACTAACGTCCTCAACACGGATAGTCCAGGTTTCAGAAGCATAGAGCAAAACTGCTCTCACCGACGCGTTGTAGATCCAACCTTTCACAGCCAGACTAACATCATGAAGACGCCAAAGGTGGCTCAGATTGGTATAAGCCGCTCTGGCTTTCACTATACGTGCATTGATCTCATCACTCACGCCACAACCAGCACTTATGCAGCTACCTAGATACACGAACTTCTCGACTACTTCTATCTGCTCACCATCCAGGGTGAGTACAGGATTAGAATCCTGCCAGTCTTGTAGAAGTACTTTGCACTTCGAAGGTGCAAAGCACATACCACATCTACGGACACTGATTGCCAACTGATTAAGTGCGGATTGCATGGCTTGGGCATTATCGCACAGTAAGACAATATCGTCCGCATACTCAAGGACGAGAAGTCTTTCTCCAGGCAACAGATCCACACCACCATTACTTACATTCATCAGAGCTGTTTCCAGAATGTCATCGATGGCAAAGTTGAAGAGGAATGGTGAGATTGGGCAACCCTGCTTAACCCCACTGCTCAAATGGAACAATGGAGAGAGGTGGTTGTATGCCCTCACTCTGCCTGATGATGAACTGCCTATAATTATGGAAACTAATACAAACACGTAAATAATAAGTGAGAAAACCGTCTAACGTTTGAGTAAAAAGTGACTATCCAAAAATTCTCTCATCAGTACATTCTTTCTTTTATTACAAATCTTGATATTTGGAAAGGCCTAACAAATGTGATTGGTATGTAATTCAAAAACAAACATGGACTACCACATTTACCATGAATACGAGTTTACTTTAATTTTCCACTAATTAGTACTTAATCTATGTATAAGTACGTAGGAGTAAATACTAATATTTGCCACGCAAATTTATGCAAAAGTATAATACATTGAAGGCCTTGTGGATACCCAACAGTGAAACATACAATTCCTCTTAGCTCGGTTGGGTCATCACGATAGGCAAGCCCGACCACCACATCAAGGTAGCAGCTACGGTCGGGCCGTGGTAAGAGAGGAAATAATACGTTCGCATTTTGTTGAAAACTTCCTACCAGGCGCTCTTAGACGATATCTCCGAGTGCCCTCAATTAACACGATGTATCTAAAGACGGTATTCCGATTAACGGCTTCAAAAAAATCATGAATCTCGTCAAGAGGACACCGGTCAACCGTTTTTTTAGAGGAAGCTTGAGAACCATATCATCTAGATAGTCTCCAAAGCGCTGCGGCAGTCAAATACCCACCAAGTCGAAATGTGCGACTCGACTTTCTTCCCAGACAGACGGTTTCGAAATCCAGGTGAGCCTAATCTTTCCCATTTATCTTTATGTTATGTGCGGAAACAAAGAAAAGGAAAAATAGCCAAAAATGAAGCCCGTTTGTCTGAAAAGTCATTGGTGGACTCACGCTCTGAGTTGCAGATTACTCCGCCAAAACAAAACAATATTTACTCCTATCGTAGATGGAAAACGTTTGGCCTCATCAAACATTGTCGTGAGTAATTCGCTCGACTCACACGACTCTGTTCCAAGCAAAGCCAACAATAAGCTCCCAGTAGTTAAAAGGCAGGGTATGACATCACGATCGAAAGCCGTGAACACGACTTTCAAAGAAGTCAAGTCTGTTCTTAATTTAATTATTTGGAATTCGGAGTCAGAAGACAATGACCTTGCTAAAAAGCATGCATACGACCTGGAGTCAGAAATGTACTGCGAGAAGAGGTTTCAGGGGTACATAATAAGACTCGGTAAGTGAGCTGGAGGTGAGACCCAAACAACAAGGATCTTGAATTTAATACTCGGAAATTATGAAGAGACGTCATATTGAATAACATATACAAAACTCGTAATTCGAATATTCGTATCCGACCAGACTGCCCGCTTGATGATAGAATCAAGTGGAAGAATGCCCTTACGGATTTAAAGACTAGAAAGCTAAATGGAGAAACGAATCTTACGATCAAGGGTTTTCGGGTGGTTAGGTCTTGGAATCCAATGCTTCCGAGACTTGTATGGGCAGAACGAATGATTCTCAAAACACCTTAAATGTATGCTACACGAACGCCCGTAGTTTTATAAATAAAACATCCAAGCTAAGTCTGATAGTGGACGAATCAAGTGCCGATACAATTGTTGTCCCAGAAACTGGGCTTACCGTAGATATAGACTGTCCCCCCATCATTGCAGGGCACACCCGTATTAGAAGTGATAGTTATAAAGCGCAAGGGAGGGGGCATAATACTATATGTTAAAGATCACTTTCGTGCACAATTGATCATATCGGAGGCGCATAACAGTGGTATGTGTGGGGTAACTTGTTGTACAATTAAGTCCAAACGCGAGTTAGTGACCACAGGAAGAATATACCGTAGTCTATGTTGTCTTGCTGACGACTTTATCTTAAGTCACATCCATTCTTGGAGTAAGGCCGAATGTTGTCTCATCAGTGGAGATTTCAACGCACCGTATATCAACTGGATAGAGCCTACAGTTTCATTAGAAGTTTCGACAGCGACCTTCTATCAATTATTCAGTGTGCACTTGAACAATGTGTCGCAAAACCGATACATAGACTTGGAACATGATCCGTCATTACTAAACCTTGTCCTTACAAACCACTGTGACGATTTCGTCGACATTCAGCACCCCTACTAGCAAATAGTGATCATGTATTTTACTATAGGTTTCGGACGCACGGTATACAGTATGTATCTGATCCATCCCGTCCCAATATCTAGCGAGCAAACACTCCGGCAATCAGAGACTATGCTATCTCGACAGACTGGTCGGTCGATGAGGATGAATTGACCGAAGACAGATGGAATAAGTTTAAAGCCACATTCGAGTCCGTAATATCACCGTACATCCATGGTCAACACGTAGGCTACCACAATGCCCTCCATGGATTAAAAAGGAAACCAGAAAGCTGCTGAAGCGAAGCAAGCACTTCCGGGACATATTCTTGTTTACAGGCCGCGAATCATTTAAGTGTGAATACCGAAAGATCCACTATATATATGTCGCATTTGGTAGCCGTACTTGCCCGAAACGATTGTTTTCGTACATCAAACGGAGAACTGTTGCACGAAAATTCAGACATACTAGCTATAGGACCTTTACATGTGACTGAGGAAACTGTTCTTTAAATGATCACTAACCTCAAACCTAGTAACATACCGGGCTATGATGGGTTACATTCACGATCATTGTCACCTCTCGTGGACATTATTTCAAGACCAATTGAGATGCCTTTCAACATGTCCGTTTCTATGCTCAACTCTCCAGAGATTGGAAAGATGCTATAGCTAGTCCTATATTTAGAGATGGCCAGAGAAAAATCGTGTCTAACTAGCAAAATAGTTAGGTTACGTGAAAAGATAATTTGGGTTAAGTTACTAAGTCACATAGAATTATACATTCTGTTAACCCCAGAGTAACACGGGTTTCGAAATAAGCATTAATGTCTAGCCAATTTGTTGTAAGAGATAATTGAACAGGAGCCCTAGGTAACAGTCCGTCTGTCAATGTGATATTCACAGACTTTAGCAAAACCTTTGAAAAGGTTCCTTACCTCGTTATTATTCAGAAGCTCTCGAGCTTCGGGGTAACAGGTGCTGTGCAAGAATGGATAGAGAACTCCCTATGTTACCGCAGATAGCAAGTGAGAATTATTGAGACTCTATCTGAGTGGAAGCTAGTCAAAAGTGGCGTACCCCAAGGCACCATCCTAGATTCCCTACTTCTTCATCCCTACGTCAATGAATTACCACTATTGCTTAAGTCGTTAACATTATTAGTTGCGGATGATGTCCAAATATAGGGAATAAGGATTGAAGCTGATCATTTTGATCTTCAAGACGACCTAGACGAATTAGTTAGATGGTCTTAATGTTGTGGCTTAGAAATTAGTTCTAGCGTGTGCTCGTTAACAGTTACCAGTATACTATCGACGGTACATCTTTTCCATGAGTGCAGGAACATAAAGACGTAAGGGTAAAAGTAAGCCACGACTTCAAAAAAAAAAAAACTACGTACTGCAACACAGCAGCTGCCAAAGGGTTTCGTGAGTTATGGTCACTTCGCCGAGCATTCAAATTACGTTCCGAATTTTACATAGAACTTATGTAAGATTACACAACTGTATCCAAGCAGCTGGCCCACGTCTAATTAAGGGTATAACTCACTTGAGCGCATCCAACGTATGGGAACAAAATTAATGGAGGCTCTTTCCAAACTCCGTAACGATGAGCGCTTCAAACGCCTAAACATTTTCCCCTTGTTGTATCGCGGAACGTGAAGTGACCTCATACTGGCATTCCGTATTTTTACTAATGATTTGAGTGCCAATATGTCTTTTCTTGTCCCCTCCAGTACTGATAATTTTCGGGGTAATAGCAGGAAGGTTCATAAACCGCGATTCAAAAGACTTAAAATGGGGTTCCGTTTTCCTTATCGAATGATCGACGACTGGGACGCCTTGCCCGGATAAGTGGTATCAGTCTTATCAGTGAACATTCCATAGAAGCTGGACCTTCACTGGAAAGCAAACTGTAAGGATCAGCACAGATCCACCAACCTACTATCCTTATTGCTGAAGATTGGATTAACTGTTCAAATCAAAGATGTTATTTCATCGGTTTGTATTTTTTAACTGTTTTGTGAAAAGAAGGGGTTTACTGATTGGCTGATAAGTAGCACAAGATCGTCAATATACTATACTTATGCCAATTTTAAGTCAACTTAAAAACCAAGCATTTTAACTAATACATCCCTATAGGAATAAAAAGAAAACTACCTTTTCAAACCGAAAATTTTCGAAGCAGATTCAAAAATCTCATTAAGAGTGGGACTAGCTGTTGGAGTCTCGAAAACATGAAACTTATTTAGGAACTTCAGCCTAAGTTTCATCTTTTCAACTGCCCGACTTGACTCGACCTTGTTGCTCAAATGAGTAAAAGAAAATAAAAATTTATTCAACTGACTGATTTTATAGTTAGGGTAATGAATTCTTTGCCTTAAGATATCAGTAACAAATAATCGTGTCATTTATTGCCTTAGTATTCACCGTTGTGATCTGATTTTGATTTATGGAATACTAAGAAACGATTATGGACACAACATATCCTCTCTTGTTCTTCCCACTAGATCGGGACATCTCAGTGGACTTAGTAGGCGAGTCAAGACCGAGCAAAATACAGATCGCATACAGGTTTTCAATCCGAGTCGTCAATTCTAGAAATCTTTTACCTGAAGCAGTGGTGTCCGCACCTTCAACTAACTCAATAATCCCTAGCGGGATTAAAATTTTCCTCAATCAGTTTCGCAGTCTGAAATGTTAGCACTGAGCTTTTTCGAGTGATACTGATTTTTTGGAGAACTAGTATATTTATATTAACTGATCACTTGGTAGTAACCATCGTTGATTGGTGGAATTCGATTGGTACTGAGGCCCAAAAAAAGTGTCACATTTATCACTACCCGGTAATCATTCTTCGATTAACATGGAAATATTGAACGACGTATAATGACTTTATGGATAATCAGTTAGATACAAAAAAGGGAATACTGACTACTAATAAGGAATATAGTCATAAAACAGAATTTACACACTCGATGTCATTAGGTATCACGGACGTGATCCTGGTAATTTGCCTCCTGGACTGTGATTAGTTTGTCGTGGTATAAGCTGCTGACAAATTACGATACAGTAACATTATATGTGGGAAAAACAGCGGTTGGAAGGATGGCTCAAGGTTGCTATCAGAAAACAGGGTGAATAAGAATTCACTCCACAGTTTTGTGAGAAATCGGGTTCTATAGTGTCAAAAGATTTCTTTATTAGCGAATGAAGTAGGAAACCTTGTTGCCAAATGAGGACAGTCTACAACTGAATAATCACTGATTGCTGACTAATGTTATACTTATCACCTCTTCCTAGTCTACATCGAATTTTACCAAATTCCAATGTGAGTACTAGCCAAGGCGACTGACGTCGCGTGCAATATATAAGGAGGTGATCGAGAGTGGTCTATAGGATACTTTATACATTTGTTTCGTGGTATTTGTCACTCGCTAGCAAAGTATACCTGCGATCTCGAGAGAACTGTGGCTCCCTGGTGGATCTGTTCCCGTTCCCGTGCCGACCAACTTGGATGTAGCTAGATGATTTGGACTTCAAAGATGACCTTGCCGAAGACGAAGTTCTAAAGAGAATGCTGATGGGCGACCTATGCTCTTCCACGTGGGTTAACAGGCGTAAGGAAGTAAGTCACTTCTAAAAGACACTTACCAGTCTAACTGCTCAATGCATTAGAATTTAAACGGGGACTCAACTTCACACATTCTAACTCGTCAAATTGTATCTGTTTCTCATGATAATACGCAATGAAAAGGAAAATTTACAGTCTCAGTTACAGTTAAAAACCAGTTGTTTTTAATTATTTGGATTGTATTATGAACTAGGAATCCAGAATTAACGAGAATAGGAATCACTGTTAAATGAACGCAAGTTTGATTGACCCTGAGATTGTAGTTCATCACGACGACTAAGCAAAGTATTAGAAATCTTCATCGACTGGATATCAAGTTCATTGGCTGCTTCGTAGTTAATACACGCAGTTCTAGAATCTTGAAAGGAACAGTTTGGCATTTTTAACAACTCTCTTTCCAAACTCGGTATGTTAATTCCTGCAATTAATCGATCTCTCAGTTGCACATGAAGTTGATCACCGAAATTACACTTGGCAGCTTGTTTCTGTAATTCAAGGATGAATTCCTGAGCCTTTTGGTCATTTTGACGAACCATCTTATGAAACGTCGCCCTTTCACGGTATTCAAAACTGATGTATTTTACATGACTTAATAATAGCTCTTTAAGAGTTGCATAAGGGAGTGAGATAGGTTTTTCTGGATATGCCAAAGTTTTTAATAAGCTGTACGCTTCTCTCCCAATGAATGTCAGAAAATAAGCCACAATTTTATCACCTTTAACATCTTTCTTGGTCATGCTCCAGATTTCGAACCTTTCCAAGTAATCCTCAAAAGCTTCAGGAGTTGAATGAATATCTAACTTTTCCATTGCAGGCTCCATCGCGACGCCAATATAATGTTTTGAATTATTTGAATTATAGCACGAACTAAGAGTCCCAGAAATAACGCAATTGAAATAAGAAGTGAGACACAAGCACAAACGAATGTATTGTATTTGGAATTCGAAATCGAGTATTCAACAAGTACAAAGGTATCATTAGTTCATTCAAACACCACACGTTATCAACGTTTCGGAGTTTTGGTTGTGAATGTTTTATAATCAAACTTCACCATAGCTAACTGTAATTCCTGAAGTTGCTAAATGTTTGGAAAATTGTATTTTTACATGAAGAACTGACTTCGGTTGAATAATCATTAAAAATTAAGAAACACAAGAATTCAGTTCCGTCTTGGCATAGGACTTCGCATTAGTGCGCATTTCTAACACCACCATGAACTAAATCTACTGTCCTGAGGACTTAGACATAATTCCTAACTTTCGGATAACTAAGCTGATTACTTATGATTAGCATTTCTAACTTCAATCAATCCTCTTGAAGATATCACATGTATTTGTAGTTTGACAAAACTTTAATCAGTAACACATTCTACAATTGAATCGTGCCCATCCAGTGAAATTAAAAGTTAGAAGCGAGGAGGTTTGAAGATGTATTTTATAGGTTATCAATATATCGAGGATCGACTGATCCAGACTGGTTAGCGACTGCAGGAGATGTTGAGCACGGCGTTTTCACTCGTGGTCTGGTGCGGATGCACGACCGTGCGCCTTCAGCCAGGTGAGTTCATTAAAACTAATGTGGTCAGCATCCGATGTCGAAGAACTACAAAGCTATTTAATTTAGGGATTTATTTACCGCTACACGCTATATTACATTGCCAATGTTCACCGTAGTTGAATTTGACTGGTTACAGTTTCGCAATAGATTTCAGGAAGCTATCTCCTAAAGTTATTCTCTAGCAAGAACATGGTGATTATTTCAGTAATCAGAAATATGGAGGTAGTTGAATTTCGTTTGGAAATTGTTGCTTTCATTGAAACTGAGGGAAGCAGAGAGGACGTGCATATATGTGCATTATTTACATGAAATTCTCGAGAGTTTAACTTAACCTGTACAACAATTCAAAGCATTCAGTTTTAGAGTGAAACGTAATATCGATTCAATTAAATCATTCCAGATGAAGTGTAGATGTTTGTTTCGTGATTTTCATTGTTGAAAGTAATTTACAGTATGATTTAATTTGTTTAATGAATTACAGAAATTTTGTAGTGTGTGCTACTTAAGTAGTATATAACACCAGTCAGAAATAGAATGTCTGGTAGAAGATTGTAAAGGTCGGAGAGGGAAGATCGTGAACAGAGGGCGATTGGTATAGAAGTGAAGGAATAGTGAAGTCTGATACGATTGACTGATATTCGCAAAAACATCACTCAAGTTTGAGACAGTTGATTGATATTTTACAAATGAAGTTTTTACTATATGGTCCTCAAATTTTACCAATATGTTCTGTAATTTTGTGATCAAATTCATTCGATTGTCTTCCATTCTTGATCTCTTTCACTACGTTTCCGGTATTTTCGGTTAACTGAACTGAATGTTGTAATTTACTGTTATTGTGGATGACATTAACATCAATGAACTCCTAAAAAAACGGATCCACAAATTTAATAAGCGAAGATAGATAGTGACTAACAGTGGAATCCGGGACGCGTGTTTCGTCCTGTTTAAGGCTCTTCAGCTGGATGTCTGCATCTCAGAGTTGATATTCACTCTGGGACTCAAACCCAATGGCGTTCGCTTCAAAAGTCCTCCCGTTTTACACTGAGCTTCTGAGTCCTGATAGCCACCTGAACAGAATACACATATGTCAATAAGGGAATGATTGATCGCAGTGCTAAATAACGATGGAAAGACACAAGTAAACAGCACTAAGTGAATTTTTTCCGAAAACCTTGATTGTGATTGATTATTTTCACAGAATCTGGGATCTCTGATTTCCGACCTATTGTTTCCATGGTCAATTGACTTTTGACCATGTGATTGATTGACATCTTTCGCATGCATTGAAAATGTGTTGATTTTTGATCATCGAATTAATGTGATATGGGAATCCGTGAATAATCTATAATGAGATAAGAAAGAAAGCAAAATATTCACTACTTGTCAGTTGATAGTAGTTTCATGTTTGTTAGCCACAATACATATAATTGACTCCGTTCAAGCTTCACCTGAACTTGTCTATCTGTAAATTGTTGTCACAATCAGGGTTTGTGGAAGTTGTAGTAATTTTGATGGTTGAATCCATGAATCGATTTAAGCTAGACCACCGTGGAAGCACTGGACGGCCGTTTCGTTCTAGTATGGGACTCCTCAACAGTGCGGACACACGATCCCTCACGCGGGATCTGAACCCGGGACCTATTGATTTCTCGGGAGAACGCTTAACCTTTAGACCACTAAGCCGTCAATCCATGATATTGTGCGACCATCGACCATTGTCTTCAGTGAGCAACTTCCACACAACAGACACGGTTTGACTCCACTGATCATGTCTACTAAAAAATAAAGACTTTACCATGAAAAAAGAATGATTATTACAAAGGTCATTACGGTAGCAATAATATTTCAATAAATCATGAACAATATTACCATTATTTTTAAATGAATACTTGCCTATTAAACAGTATATAATATTACAACGAGTCCCATTATTTAAAAACCGTTTCGACTAAATACTTATAAATGCTAACTATATGTATATGGCAAAGTAAGGGTTGCCTTCCTACAATTGAATAACATATGGAACTCAAAACAATTATCAACCAATATAAAAGTCACAATATTCAATATGAACGTCGA